ACACAAAAAAAAAAAAAAAAAAAAAAGAGACGAAAGGCGTGTCGAGAGAAGGAAACAGTGATTCATGCAGTTGAATTCATCAGCTCGACTCGAACTGATTGCCAAGCGGAGTCCGGAACAAAGTGGCTAACCTGCCAGTGCTTGCAAACACGTCGGGCTCCGCCGGATTGAATCGAATCGAGACCACAGTATCTGATCCCCAGGTGAAGGAGTTCACAGGTTCGGACCTGTTAGACAAAGCAATCACAGGTAGTAGGAGGGAATCAGAGACGGAACGAGCCAAAAGATGAGTCCTTGCCAAAAGAACGTCCCAAAAGAAGTTTCCCAAAAGAAGTTTTTAAACCATGCTTGAAAGCGTGGTATTGCGAGTGCATGTGGTCTGAAAACAACCACAGGTAGGGTAGGAAATAAGAGAGACAACAACAAGTCATTGGTGAAAGTTTTGGTACCAAGTTTGAAACAGATGCTGCTTGCTGGGGGGGGGGAGGGAGGGGGGGGGCACATTGGTTGATGGGGGGGGGCTTGGGCACATTGCTTGCTGGGGGCCACCTTGGGCACTCTGAGGACCGCCGTTGTGTGGCCAATGTGAGGGCACAGCCCTCGCACATACAGATGATGATGGCGATGAGGATAGAGAGAATTACCAAAAATGAGATCATTGAGATGTGTTGAGTCTTCTGATTCTTTGAGTTCCTTTTTTTTTTCTTTTGTTTTTAAATAAAAAAATCCCCTTACTGTTGGTGGGTAGCAGCAACTGCTGGGAATGCATGCCCCCCTCTCCCCCCCCCCCTCCTCCCCCCCCGCCCTTCAGAAAAAAAAAGATTCTTTCGACGTCACTTGCCACATCAGATATGAGTTCACACTTTCGAACACTTTCAAACAGTCGAGAACCCGGGGAAGGAGTACCGTAATGGAGCCACCAAAAACAGGTAAGAAAGAAAAAAGACCAAAAATAAAGAACAACTGTGAGGACAACAATCAGAATCCAAAGACTCCTGCTACACGGACACTGTTAACCTTGTCGCAGATGATTTCTTTGAAATTCTTTCACACACAAACAGCAACACATCCATTGCATGAACACACAACCATTACCAATTTCTTAGTGCTGACCTCTTCTCTCTCTCTCTCTCTCTCTCTCTCTCTCTCCAACGAAAAAAGTCCAAAAGCATGGAAGCGAAGTCCAACACATGATGAGACGCACTGAATGAATCGCCGTCTGAAGCATAGTTATGGCGGACCCAAACTCGGACACCATGCACGCACTGAATGAATCACTGTCTGAAACATACATATGGCGGCCCCAAACTCGGACACCACATAGGGGCTGGATGCCATCTGAATGTCCAGACCCGATCTGGAGTCTCATTTTCTTAATGATAATTTGTGTATTGCCTCTCAGAGATCCAGTATTTCTACTATTTCATGATTTACCCCTCGAAGATGCAAAATTTTGTGAATGCCATTCCACCCACTGTCCAATCTCCGTTGCATCCATTGGAACCAACATCGTCTCCATATGCCCTTTTAGGTGCTGGTCCAGCTCTGCCAAACGCCCTGGTACTTCTGGCGGTTGGCCCCTGGGATATGTTCATATTAAGGCTCAGGGGCATGGCACGCAGTCACATGGTGGTCTAACAAATTGTGCTAAGCGCAATCCAAGACGCAAGAGCCAAAAAGGTCCTGTCTTTGGCTGAAGTGAACCAGGTTAACCTAAAAAAAATGACACCTTTCGCAATAAGGTGACACCTTGACCCAAAAAGGTGACACCTTGTGGCAGAAAGGTCACACCATTGACCAAAACGTGATACGTTGAGCTGAAAAGGCGACATCTTGTGGCAAAAAGGTCACACCTTTGACCAAAATATGATACGTTGAGCCAAAAAGGTGACATCTTGTGGCAAAAAGGTCACACCTTTGACCAAAATGTGATACGTTGAGCCATAAAGGTGACAACTTTGGCCAAAAGGTGACAATTTTGACGCAAAGGTGACAGCATGAGCCAAAAAGGCTATAACTTTGGCCAGAAAGATAATATTTGAGCGAAAAATGTCACACCTGTAGACAAAAGGTGATACCTTACCAAATGGTCTATAGCTCGGTTGCTACACCCCCTGTACTGTTGAAATCCAGACCCGAGTTCGAACTCCACTGGAAGCAGCTGAGTCAAATACTACAATTGAACAGTTTTGAATTAACTTGGGACGCCCAGTTCGATGGTGATATCTAAAGGCCGTCGGACTTCGTTTTTTAAAGGTGATACCTTTGGTTGGTGAAAAGATCACCTCAAGCCTAAAAAGCAACACCTTGGTCGTTATGAAAAGGTCGCCTCCTTAATTATTGCGACAGTTCGACTCTGGATAGTAATATCACAATAACCAAACAGTCTTTTCTGTGCGATTCTCTTTCATTACCATTTGTGATCACGACAACTACATGAAATAGAGAAGTTGTTTACAACTACCGTTGTCTAAATTTACAGCTCTTCGAAGGGGAAAAAAATGACTATTTGGTGAGAAGCAGTAGGCATATAGGTTATGGGACGCCCAAGACAAATCAAAGCAAGAGATTTTAACTCACCGTTCCAGCTCCCAGATATCAACTTGTGCACCTGCTGTTGCAAATATGTTCTTTTGCCAATGATGGTCAATACCCCTATGAATATTGTATAGCAATTGCCCAACAAGATCAATACCCGCAAAGAGGACCAAGAAATATCAATATCGATGAAAGCACCACAAAGGTCAGATCCTAATCACTTCGAGAGCCAGGGTTCATGCAGTATTCACGTCGGAATGCCAACGTCAAGGTAAATGATTACTTGAATTTCTAAAAATGCTATACATAGAGAAAGAATCACAACAAAACAAAAAGCTAAAAAACAGATGGTTAAGGCCGTGATGATATCGCATTGTCAAGAAAGAGAAAAGAAGAAAAGAGAACGAAAAACAAAAGGATAGTTCAAACGACTAAGTAAAGCGAGAAAGAAAAGATGGATCTTTTTTGTTGTAGGCCAGTGTAACAAAAAGTGCTAAGAATGAAAAAATTCAAAAAGTAATGACTTGTTTCAACACATATGTCCTTGGTACATTTGCTTTCTATTTCAAATTATTAAATTAATCGCTTTCACAATGAGTTGTGATGAGGCTCGAAGAGTGGTTGTTTTCCGGGAAGCATACCCATCACAAGCACTTACCATCCACAACATGAATCATGAGACATCAATCGCGTGTGCACATTAACCCACAAGTTCCTTCCGAAAGTATTCGCAGGTCCAAAAAAAAGGGTAATTGCAGGTCCATTTTAAGTCCTCAAGATACCCCTCACATTGCTGAGAGCATGTCCTGCTTCACTAACCCAGATAATTACAATCTGTTTCTTTGAAACATGTAAACGATTGTTCCTGGGATTCCATCACCAGTTATGCCAAGGGATAGGAAAAGGAGGACAAAGGTGGAGACAGACAAGCCTGAGGTGAACGAGACTGGCGAACAGCTGCTGGTGCAGCAATAGAAGAAGAGAAGGTGGAGCGAAGGAGACGTCAAAAAAGAACGAAAGAAAGAAAGAAAAAGAGAGAGAGAGAGAGAGAGAGAGAGAGAGAGAGAGAGAGAGAGAGAGAGAGAGAGAGAGAGAGAGTTGCAGAGCTTCTCCTATAGCAGTGGTACATTCAGGCGCCTGATCAGCACTTCGCTTTGTAATTTTGTAACACCTGTAATAACGACAATTCCGGTGGTTCTCTTACCACGACCGGGATAGAGGACTTGCGAAGGGGCTTCAAAAAACAAAACACACAAAAAAAAAAAAACATTTTGGTTCAAACTTCAAAAAGGGTGTAGAAGGAGAAAAAGGTAGCAGTAAGGGGGGTTGACACATGGTTCCAGTAAATTTATTTTCTCCGAAATCTCCTCACCATTGCTGGACTTTCCTCTGTGAGCTCAAATGTTGCAATCAGTGTTGTAAAAGACATGATCGATGCATGTTTAATGTTTAAGCCCGTGTGTGACAAATCTGAGTTGCGAAGTGGAGCTTCATTGCAATTTCTGTCCCTGGCGAATACAGGTAGGACCACGTTGTGCTTCAGGAAGAACGCTCATCCATGAAGCTCATTGGTTGTAGTTACAAGATGCAATGTGCAAAGAGACTGCAGCTGATCTCTTTCCTTAGGGACGGTTTTGCCGATTTCGTCAAAAAGCCTCACTGGGCCCTTTGCCAGACAGATTGCGAGTGTTCCCAGCTTCGTCTGCTGTCTACTGTCTTTCGCCGGATGGTTTTCGTAAGGATGCGAAAGAGAAAACCATAAATAGTCTATGAAGTTGGTACGAAGTTACTACAAACTCACCTGAATGCATTTTTACCTTGGTAGATCCCCAGTTCCTGCACACGCATAACACATATAGGCAAAGCCGCAAAGGTAAGCATTTTCTGGGGGGGGGCATCAGTGTGGTTGCTTATCACCAGCAAGCATGAGTACAAGAGAGGAGCAAAAGGTCAAGAGAAGTAAAGAAGGTTCAGCCAGACCCTTGCAGTACGAGTAACCTCAAGGGGGGCTTGTTACGAGCCGACACACCCCCCCCCCCCCCCCCCCCAAAAAAAAAAAAAAAAACATGGCCTCCCCTAGGGAGCTTCTGCTGGCCAGGAAGCTTTACTGGCAGCACCCAGTCACGCAGCAGAAGGGCCTTAGGGGGGGTGAGGTGCTCCTTGCGGCCTCCCCTAGGGAGCTTCTGCTGGCCAGGAAGATTACTGGCAGCACCCAGTCATGCAGCAGAAGGGCCTTAGGGGGGGTGAGGCGCTCCTCGCAGCCTCTCAGCCCGCAAATTCCCAACCGCCCAAAAACGCGACAAAATCAACGAACACTCATTGCTGCTTATCTCCTCCTTCCTACATATACCATTTTGCCCCTATAGGGGTCTACCAATGCCTATCCTTGCCTCATTGCCACTTCTTTAGTCTTGCTTCGTTCATTCCTGTGTCTTCCTCCGGTCTGCCGCATTCACTTCCTTCGCGCAGTCTGCCCTCCACGATCCCACACTGCCCTGCTCTACTCCCGCTATGGTCTACTCTGTTCCTTCCCAGCCCTGCTTAGCATGCCTTACATTCATTTTTTTAAGCATGCCTTACATTCAGTAGTAGTACTCCGGAGCTTTACAGCACTGCTGCCCAGAGTTGTTCTTTTTCTCACAGCAGGGTTATTTGTCTGTCACGCCCTGCAAGTCCAGAGAGCATATTGCATGCCTAGAAAGACGTGCACTGAACCCTCGTGCTATTTTCCATGCGTTTCCAGTCCATGAGACACACTCTGACTTTCACAAACTTTGTGCGTCAAACTTTCAAGTGCTGTCAGTCGTGCGCACACAAACGCGCTAATTTGCAACAAGACAAAAAGATCAACATACATACACCGTATTAGCAGAAGGAAAACAAATAGAAAACCTTGCCTATCCATTCCTATCTTCAGATGCTTTCTCCATCTAGAGCCTCGAAGTGAAATTGGTATTCATACTATTCAAATGAAATTGGTATTCAAACACATGGTGATGAGGACAAGAAGCAAGTAAAAGGGGACTAAGAGGGCCACACCAGGGCAGACAAATGCAATCAAGGGATGAGCGTGACAAGAGAACCCCTTACCTCCTCTTCTTCCGGCGGACCTCGAGTTGCTTCCCCTACCTCTGTAACTGGAAGCTGCCATAGCCTCACTCTGACCGATGACAATCACAGTACCAAAGCAACAAGATTGAAAAGCCTACTTCAGCAACAACGACAACAACAAGCCGAGAAAGATTGAAAAGCCTACTTCATGACATGCCCCATGAGCCCAACGCTAGTCTGACATGCTGCCTCTCACACCAGAACGATGTTGCATGGGTCCTGGGGACCAACTCACGCAGATGTGCATACATCTAACATCGTCTTCACACTCAATGGACACAGTTGCCACACACGAGACAAAGGTAGATAAGAATAGGACCAAGACCCGTCACTTATATTATCAAAAATTATGATT